CAGAAACCCCCATCACATTGAGGAAGTGTTTAGATGTGTACTTGTGATACTGAGGTAAACAAGGCTATGGCCCAAGTGCTGGAAAATGGGATTAGAATAATTGTGTGGTTGTTTTTGACCAGCATGGACACAATGGGCCAAAGGACCTTCTTCTGGGCTAAACCTGTATAACTCTATGACTACGTAAGTGGGCAAAACCTTGTCAAAGGAATATAATGTGGGGAAAAATGTGAGGCTATGCACTTTAACAGGAAGAATAGAGGAGCTGAATATTATTTAAATGGAGAAAGACTGTGGAAAGCTGCAGCACCGAGGGATTTGCTGCGGGGTGGGGAGGGTGTGGGGGGGGGGGGGAGAGTGGGGGGAGTACTCCTATGTGAATTACAGAGAGCTAGTCTCCTGGTGGCCAGTAAGGAAAGCAATTGGAATGTTAGCCTTTATGTCAAAGAGAATTGAAGATAAACATAAAGACATTCGGCTAAAACTACACAAAGCTGTAGTCAGACCACAGCTGGGTTACTATGAATATGTAAAGGAAAATGGCCTGGCTTTGGAGACAGTCCAGAGAAGGTTCACTTGGCTGATCGAGGCTATGGAGGGACTGTCTTACGAGGAGAGGGTTGAGTAGGTTGGGCTTGTACTCACTGGAGTTCAGAACAATGAGAGGTGATTTTATTGAAACACACAAGATTCTTGGAGGAATACTTACTTGAGAAGAGATACACTAGCACTGGAGGGGTTGCAGAGGAGATTCACTCGGTTGATCCCAGAGTTGAGAGGGTTGGATTATGAGGAGAGACTGCGTAGACTGGAATTATACTAATTGGAATTCAGAAGAATGAGGGGAGATCTTATAGAAACATATAAGATTATGAAGGGAATAGATAAGGTGGAGGCAGGGAGGTTGTTTCCGCTGGCAGGTGAAACTAGGACTAGAGGGCATCGCCACAAAATAAAGGGAAGCAGATGTAGGACTGAGGTCAGAAGGAACTTCTTCACCCAAAGGGTTGTGAATCTGTGGAATTCCCTACCCAGTGAAGTGGTTGAAGCTACCTCGCTGAATGTTTTTAAGGCAAGGCGAGATAAATATTTGAACAGTAAAGGAATTAAGGGTTATGGTGAGCGGGCGGGTTAAGTGGAGCTGAGTCTCAAAGAGATCAGCCATAATCTTATTAAATATTGGGACAGGCTCGAGGGGCCAGATGGCCTACTCCTGCTCCTAGTTCTTATGTTCTTATGAATTGTCAGGGTCGATGTGGAGAAGTTGTTTCTCCTTGGGGGAGACTCCAGGACCAGAGGGGCATCATCTCAGAATACCAGGTGGCCCATTTCAGACAGAAATGGGGTGAGATTTCTTCTCTCAGAGGGTAGTGAATCTGTGGAATTCTTTAGTACAGGGGGCTGTTGAGGCTGTGTCATTAAATATATTCAAGGCTGAGATAGATTTTTAATCAGTAAGGCTTTTGACAAAGTGATTTTAATAAGGCTTTCGACAGGGTCCCTCGTGGTAGGCTCATCCAGAAGATTTCGATGCGTGGGATCCGCGGTGACTTGGCCACATGGATTCAGAATTGGCTTACCCATAGAAGGCAGAGGCTGGTGGTGGAAGGGTGTTTTTCAGGCTGCAGGTCCGTGATTAGTTGTGTTCCGCAGGGTCTCTGCTGTTTGTGATATATATAAATGACTTGGATGAAAATGTAGATGGGTGGGTTAGTAAGTTTGCAGATGATACAAAGATCAGTGGAGTTGTGTAAAGTGTAGAAGGTTGTCAAAGGCTACAATGGGATATAGATCAGTTGCAGATATGGGCGGAGAAATGGCAGACGCAGTTTAATCCGGGTCAGTGTGAGGTGCTGCACTTTGGGAAATCAAATGTTAAGGAAAAGTAGACAGTTAATGGCAGGACCCTGACCAGCATTGATGTACAGAGGGATCTTGGGGATCAAGTCCATAGTTCCCTGAAACTGGCCACGCAAGTAGATAGGGTGGTAAAGAAGATGTATGGCATACTTGCCTTTATTGGTCGGGGAATTGAGTACAAGAGTCAGGATGTCTTCGGCTACATTTAGAGTATTGTGTTCAATTGTGGTCACCACATTACAGGAAGGATATGGAGGCTTTGGAGAGGATGCAGAAGAGGTTTACCAGGAAGCTGCCTGGATTACAGGGTATGAACTATAAGGAGAGGCTAGAAAAACTCAGGTTGTTTTCTCTGGAGCAGCGAAGGCTGAGGGGAGACTTGATGGAAGTCTATAAAATTCTGAGATGCATAGATTGGGTTAATGGTCAAAATTCTTTTCCCAGAGTTGAAATGTCTAATACTAAAGGGCATGCATTTAAGGTTGAAGGGGGAAAATTCAAAGGAGACGTGAGGGGCAAGTTTTTTACCCAGAGAGTGGTAGGAGTCTGGAACGCACTGTCAGGGGTGGTGGTGAAGGCAGATATGATAGGGGTGTTTAAGGGACTTTTAGATAAGCACACAAATGTGCAAGGAATGGAGGGATATGGACCATGGGCAGGCAGAGGGGATTAGTTTCATTTGGTGTCATGTTCGGCACAACATCGTGGGCCAAAGGGCCCGTTCCTGTGCCGTACGGTTCAATGTAAGGGAGTTGAGGGTAACGGGGAAAAGTAAGAAAGTGGAGTTGATGATGATCTGATCAGCCGTGATCCATTGAGTAGTGAGGCAGCCATGATGGGCTGAATGGTCAATTTCTATTCCTATATCTGACAGACACCTCATCTTCAGGTATGCCTGATGCTGCTCCTGGCATGCCCTCCTGCACTCTCCATTGAACCAGGGTTGATCCCCTGGCTTGATGGTAATGGTTGAGTGGGGGATTTGCCGGGCCATGAGGTTACAGATTGTGCTGGAGTACAATTCTGCTGCTGTTGATGACCCACAGGGCCCCATGGATGCCCAGTCCTGAGTTGCTAGATCTGTGCGAAGTCTGTCCCATTTAGCACGACACACAACACAATGGAGGTTGTTCTCAATGTGAAGCCAGGTCTTTGTCTCCACAAGGACTGTGTGATAGTCACTCTCACTGATACAGTCATGGACAAATGGATCTGCAGCTGGCAGATTGGTAAGGATGAGGTTAACTATGTTTTTTCCTCTTGTTGATTCCCTCACCACCTGCCACAGACCCAGTCTAGCAGCTATGTCCTTTCGGACCCAACCAGCTCGATCTGTAGTCCTGCTGCCGAGCCATCTTGGTGATGGACCTCAATCAGCGGTATTGGTAGCTGTTTACATTGGAGTCAGTCTGAGTTTCCCCGTGATGTCTTCAGTCAGTCTGTGACTCTATGCGGCTTTTCCTTTGGCATTGTGGGAGTCTTGCGTGGGATTCCAATCGAGGAATAGAGGCAGATCCTCAAGCCCAGAGCCAGGAAATAGAACTTGTCTTAAATTCTCTTTTTTAAAACTGTCTTTTTTTAATTATACTATCATGAGAGGACTGTTATTCTGAACTTTTTATTTCTTTATTTTTCTAATTTATTACAATGATTTTGTACTTTTGAAGGTCTGTAACGCTGGACTTTTCATTTCTTTATTTTTCTTTATTTTTTTCCTAAAAATTTGTGCTCAAGATTCTGTACCTGGGTACCTTTGTACCTAACATGGTGCTGTAAGTGGCGACTTGTAAACTTTTCACTGCACTCATGGGAGTACTTGTGACATTAAAGCTAATTCTAATTTTGTGCCTTTGCCATCCTCAGTGCTTCCTCTAAGTGTTGTTCAACATGGAGGAATACTGATTCATCAGCTGAGGGAGGACGGTATGTGGTAATCAGCAGGAGGTTTCCTTGCCCATGTTTAACCTGAAGCCATGAAACTTCATGGGGTCCGGGGTCAATGTTGCGGACTCCCAGAGCAACTCCCTCCCAATTGTATCCCACTGTGCCACCCCCTCTGCTGGGTCTGTCCTGCCGTTGGGACAGGATATACCCAGGGATGGTGATGGTGGTGTCTGGGACATTGTCTGTAAGGTATGATTCTGTGAGTATGACTGTGTCAGGCTGTTACTTGACTAGTCTGTGAGACAGCTCTCCCAATTTTGGCACGAACCCCCAGATGTTAGTGAGGAGGACTTTGCAGGGTCGACAGGGCTGTTTCTGCTGTTGTCTTTTCTGGTCCCTAGGTCGATGCCAGGTGATCTGTCAGGTTTCAATTGTTTGAGTCTTTGTAGCGTTTTGTACATCTGAGTGGCTTGCTAGGCCATTTCAGAGGGCAGTTGTGAGTCAACCACATTGCTGTGGGTCTGGAGTCACATGTAGGCCAGACCAGGCGAGGGTGACAGATTTCCTTCCCTAAAGGACATTAGTGAACCAGATGGGTTTTTGTCAGAACCAACACCATTATTTGATATTTAATTCCAGATTTCTTTTTAAATTTTGCCCTCTGCCATGGTGGAATTCAAAGCCAGGTACACAGTAACAATAACTCTGCACCTTTGTTTCCTTCCTCGTAATCCCACCCTTGACCCCTACATCCTTCTTCATTGATAATCTTTCGTCTCCCTCATTACTTCCCTCCCTCATTGCCCCCTCCTTCATTTCTTACCCCTTCTCTCAGTCTGTATCCCTTCCCTCTCAGCTTGCCTCCCTCCCTCCCTCCTAACCATCCTCCTTCACCCTACCCCATCCTTCACTCCTTAACTCCCTCCCTCCTTAATCCTTTGCCTCTCAATTATTTGTCAGTTATCAGTGAGCAAGGTGGCGGTCATACATGCATTATTGTGTTAGGCAACAATTCATTGGGGACGGGTTATTGGGGGTGGGGTTATTCTGGATGGGTTATTGGGGACATGTTATTGGGGACTGGTTATTGGGGGCAGGGTTATTGGGGGCGCGGTTATTGGGGATGGGGCTATAGGGAAGCGGGTTATTGGGGAGCAGGTTTCTGGGTTGTTGGGCCTGATGTGTGAACAGTCTTTATGCTGTCTTTGGTCAGAATCTATCATTAACAGTTGGTTTCCTGTACTCGGATCTTACAGATGGAGGCAGGGCAGAAGAAGGAAATTGCTGAGACCACTCAGATTCTTCAACAAACCTTTATCAGCGAGAAAGAGCTCCTGCTAAAGAAGGAAAAGATGGTTGAAGAGGAAAAGGAGAGGTTAGAGCGACTTTATGAAGATGAATTGAAGAAATCTCAATCCCTGAAGGATGAACAAAGCGAACAAATGAAGAAACTGGAGGATGAGAAATGCAGGCTTCAGGCCAGTATGGAGGAGGCATTGAGAAAGCAAAAGAAGGCAGAGGATCTGGTTCACGCTAAGCAAAAGGAATTGCAGGAAATGGAAGAGAAGAGACAGCAGAAAGAGAAGCAGCTGGCTGAGGAAAATCGGATACTGAGAGAGCAACTGGAAGCACAGAAGAAGATGAAAGAGATGGCTCCAATTGAGCAAGTGACAGTGACTCCGGTGAAGGCCATTTCCAATGGCAGAGATGTGGTTGATTCAGTTCCTGAAAGTGAAGACACCAAACTCACTTTCACTGGCCTTCGCCAGCCAGTAACGGCCGGTCGTCTACAGCAAGTTGGTATCTTGAGCAAGAAACAGTTGGACAAACTGAAGAAGGGTTCATTAACAGTACAGGAACTCTCCCAAAAGGAAAATCTCAAGAATTATCTGCAGGGCAAGAGCTGCATTGCTGGTCTCATCATTGAGCCTAGAAATGAGAAAATGAGCATCTATCAGGCTATGAAGCAGGGATTATTGAAACCCACTACAGCTACAACACTGCTTGAGGCACAGGCAGCTTCTGGCTTCATTATTGACCCCATTAAAAACAAGAAGCTGCCAGTGAATGAGGCCATTAAGGAAGCTGTGGTTGGACCAGAGCTTCAGGAAAAGCTGCTGTCTGCAGAGAGGGCAGTGACTGGTTACAGGGATCCCTACACTGGAAAGACAATCTCCCTGTTTGAAGCAATGAAGAAAGATCTCATCAGTGCAAACCATGCAATATGCCTACTGCAAGCTCAGATGGCAACGGGTGGAATCATTGACCCTTTGAACAGTCATCGTCTACCCTTGGAGCAGGGCTATAAGCAAGGCATCATCGATGAGGACATGAACAGAACACTTGCCAGTGACAGCGATGAAACCAAAGGATATTTTGACCCCAATACCCAGGAATACCTTACTTATTTCCAACTGATGGACAGGTGTCAAAAGGACTCAGAAACTGGACTCTGTCTCTTGCCATTGACTGATGAAGCAGTGAGACACAAGGGAGGTTATACAACAGAGCAAACACGTGACATCTTCAGCACAGCCACAGTGTCTGTCCCATCCGGAAAATTCTCTGGTAAAACGGTCACTATCTGGGAATTGATAAACTCTGAGTATTTCACTGACGAACAACGTCGGGACCTTATCCGACAATACAGATCAGGAAAAGTGACAATTGAAAGCATCATCAAATACATCATTACAATTATTGATGAGGCTGAAGCAAAAAAACAGCTTCTCTTCAACGGACTAAGAGACAAGGTTCCTGCCAGTGAGTTACTTGAATCCAAGATCATTGATAAGAAAAC